AGAGCGTCTTTGGTTTTGCTTTCTTTGAGTTTTTCCGTAAAGGAGTCGGAAGGAAAAGCTCCAAACTCTCACTTTTCTCCCCCAAAACACCTAGACAGAAAATAAGCGACAGCACCCGCTTCGTTTTGCTGCTTTAGTTACCTCCTCCATCCTTCTCCCGGCCTTAAACTGGGGAGGAAAGTCCTTGAATTGGGAGGAAAGCTCTTAGATTTGGGGGGAAGCTCTTAAATTGGGGAGAAAGGTCTTAAATTGGGGAGGAAGGTCTTAAACTGGAGAGAAAGGTCTTAAATTGGGGATAAAGGTCTTAAATTGGGGAGAAGAATCTTAAATTGGGGAGAAAGCTCTTAAATTGGGGGAAAAGGTCTTAAATTGGGAGGAAGGGTCTTAAACTGGGGAGAAAGGTCTTAAATTGGGGAGAAGAATCTTAAGTTGGGGTGAAAGCTCTTGAATTGGGGGAAAAGGTCTTAAACTGGGGAAAAAGGTCTTAAATTGGGGAGAAGAATCTTAAATTGGGGAGAAAGCTCTTAAATTGGGGGAAAAGGTCTTAAATTGGGAGGAAGGGTCTTAAACTGGGGAGAAAGGTCTTAAACTGGGGAAAAAGGTCTTAATCTGTTTCCGTTTGTCGGAAATTGGGGGAAAGCTCTTGAATTGGGAAGAAAGCTCTTAAACTGGGGGAGGGAAGGCTCTTAAACTGGGGAGGAAGGTCCCTCCCAACCCAAACCATTCCGTGATTCTCTTCAAGCACCATCCCGGAGTGTTTTCCAACCAGCAGCAGAATGGATCTGATCCGAAATTCCGATTGCTCTGTCACAGGCTGCTGAGTGCCCAATGGTTTCAGGGGAATTTGAGATTTTTCTTTTCTTTCCACTCATTTTCTTTTCTTTCACCTCATTTTATGGAGGGAAGATCCTCAGGACTGGCCATGCCAGGTGGTGCCATCTGAGGACGTCAGTCCCTCGGGTGGGCGTGGGAACACGTCCCTGCACGGAGCAGCCGCTCGGGAAACTTGATTTCTGACAAAAAGCTGAAAAAAGTGAGTTTGGAGCTTGATAGATCCCGGAAAACGGGCGTGGGATTTCCCGACGGCCGCGCGACGGAGGTGGGGACGGAAATACCGGCTGGGTCCCACTCCCCGAAGGCGGCTCCTTCTCCGTTCCCTTCTCCTGAGCCCAAAAAAACTGATTTTGGAATTAAAATTTTTTTAAAAAGGAGGTTTTGGGGAGCACTGCTGAGATTTGGAAACGAGGCTGAGGATCCAAGTTCCTCGTCCACGGGATCCGCGTCTCACTTAACGGACAATTTCCCTAATTACCTCCCGGGTCCTCCCTCCGCCGGGAACCCGCAGCCTCCGAAATAACTCGGTTTTCCGGCTTTTTCTGAACCATTCCGTCCTCGGAAGATGATAAAAGGAGGTTTTGGGGAGCACTGCTGAGATTTGGAAACGAGGCTGAGGATCCAAGTTCCTCGTCCACGGGATCCGCGTCTCACTTAACGGACAATTTCCCTAATTACCTCCCGGGTCCTCCCTCCGCCGGGAACCCGCAGCCTCCGAAATAACTCGGTTTTCCGGCTTTTTCTGAACCATTCCGTCCTCGGAAGATGATTTGGTGGATTTCCAGGGTTAACACCGACTCGCAGAAGTTGCTCATGGTTTCCGTTTGTCGGAGCGAGGACGGATCGGCGCTACCGGCGAGGTACAAACCCAATAGCAACGGGAATCCCTCATTAATGAGGAATTAATTAGCTCGTTATCTACTCAGGGGCTTTCTCTTCCGTCCATTCCTGGGTGGATTTTGAGGGATCCTTTGGCCATTGAGGGGTTTTCATCACCCAGGTGCTTCCGAACACATGGATTGCTGTTGGATTTCACGCAAAGGAACTTTAAATTAATTAATTGATTATATTAATTAATATAATGGTAAGTAATTATATTAATTAATATCATAAACTGTTAATTAAAAGATTGGATAGGTATGAAAGAAACAAGGAAGGTTTTATTTCTGACCCCAGAGCAAAAAAAAAAAAGGAATGTGTACGATGATGTGACTCGAGCTGCTGGTGATAACCAAGAACCGGACTTCCCGGTTCATGGAAAACGGGAATGAGGTTAATTACGTTTAATTAATTGTGTTGTGAACTCCCGCGGAACGCGATAAATCAGTGACAACCGTACGTGCGTCCCGCGAGCGACGCCGTCGCCGAAGGAGCTGCGGAAGCTTTCCTTTT